GATGATTCGCCTCTCCTTCAACGGCGGCTTCAACTTGCGATTGATGCCGTGTCGTATTGGGCCACCAACCATGGCTTCAGGTTCTCTACGTCTAAGACTTGTGATATGATTTTTACTCGGAAGCATGTCATTCTTCGTCCCTCTTTGTCGCTTTATGGTCTTCCCCTTGTGTACAAGGATTCGGCTAAACTTTTGGGGTTAATCTTTGGCACTCGTTTGTCTTGGTCGCCCCAAATGAGTTGAATGCCCCAACTCAAATACCTCTGAGTTGAATGCTCTAAGGTCCCATACCCTCCTTCAGGTATTGTCCCATAATTTTTGGGGAGCGGATAGGCGCACTCTCCTCGCCTTACATTCCTCTCTCGTCCTGTCTAAACTCGATTATGGTTTCCCTGTTTACTCATCTGCTTCTCCTTCTACTCTTCGCCGTCTTGATGATTTGCACCATATTGGGTCCCACCTCAGTTCTGGTGCCTTTCATTCGACTTCCGTCCTCAGCTTGTATGTTGACACTGGCTTCGTATCTCTCCAGGACCGCCGTGATCGCTACTGTCTTCGCTATCTTGCGCGGTCCTAACAACATCCTTCCTCTCGCCTCTGTCGTGTTTTAATTTTTACCCCTCCTCTGGTTCCAGTTCCTCTTCATCACCTCCCTCTTTCTGTCCGGTTATCTCGCTTACAGGATTCTCTTTCAGTTCCTATTTCTAATATTTCTCCTTGTGTTGTTGCTTCCTTGCCCCCGTGGAGAGTCCTCCTTCCGAAGTTTTGTACATCCTTGAACCGCATCACTAAAGCTTTTACCCGTCCTACGGTTCTGAAACGCCTTTTCTTTGAGCACTTTTCTTCACACTCCCACTCCGTTTCCATCTTCACCGATGGGTCTAAGTCTGCGGACGGTGTAGGCTTCTCTGTTGTTTTTCCTGACAGCACTTATGTGTCGCCTACGTCCGGAGACTAGCATCTCCACAGCAGAACTTTATGTTATTTTCAATGTGCTTCGTCTCCTGCTTTCTCGTTGTCAATCTTCCTTTGAAGTTTTCATTGAATCTCATAGTGCACTCATGGCTCTCAGGTCCTTTAATTCAGTCCATCCAGTGGTCGTCGAGATTCAGCATTGGCTGTTTCTTATTACCAGTAAATTTCTGCTCTTGTCCCATCTCCAGTAAAGGTATTCATTATTCCGACTTTTACCCAGTTATTCATTCCTCCATCCTTACCCATTGGCAGGATTGTTGGTTTTCTGTTACTGGTAACAAACTGCATACTCTTAAGGGTAGTGTGTCCTCATGGCCCTCCTCCTACCACCGTAACTGGCAATGGGAAACGGCTCTGGCGAGGTTGCGTATTGGCCATACACACATAACCCAGTCACTTAATGGAGTGCCACCCTGCTCCTTATTACCCAAATAGCATTGTCCCTCTTACGGTCGTACATATCCTTGTTGAATGTCCTGACTTCCAGGACGAGCGTGTTTTTTGCTTTCTGACCGTCTCTTGCTGTCGCTTGTCCCTCGATAGAATTCTTGGTGAATCAGATACTTTTGATACCGTTCACCTTATGTGCTTCTGTTCTTCTATGGGCATCCTTAGTGCTATTTAGCGCCCTCTGATTATTCCGCACATTTGATGGTGGTACATAGCCTTCCCGGTTTGGTGCTTTCTTTTGATAATTTCTTACTTAACTATTTTTAATTGAGAGACAAGTTATTTTAGTTAAAAAATGATGAAAAAAACTACACTTGACTATTTTTTTTTACTCTACGACGAAGAAGGGTAGTTACAAAACAGCTGAGAGAAGTTACACTTGACTATTTTTAGTTCAGAGAAGTGCTATTTTAGTTAAATATGATGAAAAGATGATGAACGTAGCTATTTTCAGTTGGCTATTAGTAGCAAAAACTACACTTATAAATATATAGATCCAGGCCCAAGAGCTAATATTTGATGAATTTTTAAAAATATCTACTCAAGTTCGTTGAGTTTATTTTCTCAATAAGAACTTTAGGAATGCAGGTGTAAGTAAAACTTTGAAATATTGGGGTCATAAACTGGTCTTGGCCAATTTTGGTCTTAAACTGGACGCTGGCAATTTTTAAATTCCTTCCATAAAAACTCTTTAAGAATGCATCGAGGATTAAAACTCTGACAAATTTCAGTCTTAAACTGGTCTCTGACAAATTTCGTTCTTAAACTGGTCTCTGACATATTTCGGTCTTAAACTGGTCTCTGAACAATTTCGGTCTTAAACGGCATGAAATAGTAGTAAATGAACACAAATCAAAAAGTTACTGCTAAGGAGAATAACAAAACTTCTCTGAACATATTCTCACAAAATAGTCTCTGAAAAATTTCGGTCTTAAACAGTAAAACTGATAAATTTTGATCTTAAATGGATGGCAGCTTAGCTGAAAGTAAATCTCTGAAAACAAATTACCTGGAACCCCCCACGGCTTAGTGGTAAGTAAATCTATGACAAATTTTACCTGGTACCCCCTATGGCGTTGTGACCAATGGAACCCTGGCAATATTTTACCTGGTACCCCCTATGGCGTTGTGACCAATGGAACCCTGGCAATATTTTACCTGGTACCCCCTATGGCGTTGTGACCAATGGAACCCTGGCAATATTTTACCTGGTACCCCCTATGGCGTTGTGACCAATGGAACCCTGGCAATATTTTACCTGGAAGCCCTGACTCATCAGCAGTAACTGAGCTCGAGAAACGAAAAGTTACTGCTGATGGGTCATCCCTACTAAGGAATATGCTCCCCCAAGAACTCGCCAAGGGATGATTATGCTCCCCAGGAACTCGTCAAGGGTTCCACAGTTTTAGATGATTGCTGAATTGTCTTGATTTCTGGGAACTGTGGGCAGGAATCTGCGGAAATTTTCCATCATAAACACACATAATATTATATATATAATTTACACTATTTATGTAATACGAAGATTCGTCTTTAGTTGTAGTATTATCTTTAATCATATCTAGTTACAATTGATTTACAACCTTAAATAAGAAGAATTATGAGTAGTTCCTCTAATTATCTTTTGTAGATAAATCAAAGATTTGATGAAATCCTTGTGATGTAACATATTGGCATGTCTACAAGAGAGATAGCAAATCAATTATTTAAACGAACTTTTCTCCTTAAATAAATATTATGCTTAGATGCTATATATCAAGTAACTATTATCCCAAATTGTAATTAAATCCCTAAACATGTTGAATGTTCACTCACTCCACACATTCTCTTGTGCTATTTAAATGTGTAAAACCCTGTTCCTAATTGCTAATCCTGATCTGATTCTCTTTCTTGATAGATGTAGCAAAACCCATGAGCACCACACCAAAAATAAATCTCTGTGATATCCCCAGAGTCAAACTAAATCTGTGCAAACACTCCGTGCGTATAAAAGGACCTATAGAACTTACTCGTTAATGAATTAAAAAATTGTCCAACCTATGCTTTATTCAAAAGTAAAAACAAAACTACCTAATTTAATCCTCATAGTTTCCTACCTTGTGCTTAAAACTCACACTGTATCTTGTGCTACCCACTTCCCTAATTGTAGTACTTAAGACAAGCAACATCACAGGTAGATTCAATACAATAAATTGTTGTTGTAGTTATTATGTTGAAATCAAATAGGATGACCTCTGGCATGGGAGACAGTCGCTCTATAAACTGTGCTACTTGGCTAGCCTTAGCAGGGAAGTATCCCAAGGCGTCTAATTACTACCCAGTGGAAGTTGTCATCCCCTTGACTGCCACTCTCTCCCCTCTGTCTCTTTCTACCCTCCCCCCCCTCTCTCTCCCTCCCTCCCCCCTCTCTCTCTCCTCTCTCTCTCTCTCTCTCTCTCTCTCTCTCTCTCTCTCTCTCTCTCTCTCTCTCTCTCTCTCTCTCTCTCTCTCTCTCTCTCTCTCTCTCTCTCTCTCTCTCTCTCTCTCTCTCTCTCTCTCTCTCCCCTCTCTCTCTCTCTCTCTCTCTCTCTCTCTCTCTCTCTCCCTCTCTCTCTCTCTCTCTCTCTCTCTCTCTCTCTCTCTCTCTCTCTCTCTCTCTCTCTCTCTCTCTCTCTCTCTCTCTCTCTCTCTCTCTCTCTCTCTCTCTCTCTCTCTCTCTCTCTCTCTCTCTCCCCTCTCTCTCTCTCTCTCTCTCTCCCCTCTCTCTCTCTCTCTCTCTCTCCCTCTCTCTCTCTCTCTCTCTCTCTCTCTCTCTCTCTCTCTCTCTCTCTCTCTCTCTCTCTCTCTCTCTCTCTCTCTCTCTCTCTCTCTCTCTCTCTCTCTCTCTCTCTCTACCTCTCTCTCTGTCTCTCTCTCTCTCCCCCTCTCTCTCCCCTCTCTCTCTCCCCCCTCTCTCTCTCTCTCTCTCTCTCTCTCTCTCTCTCTCTCTCTCTCTCTCTCTCTCTCTCTCTCTCTCTCTCTCTCTCTCTCCTCTCTCTCTCTCTCTCTCTCTCTCTCTCTCTCTCTCTCTCTCTCTCTCTCTCTCTCTCTCTCTCTCTCTCTCTCTCTCTCTCTCTCTCTCTCTCTCTCTCTCTCTCTCTCTCTCTCCCTCCCCCCTCTCTCTCTCTCCCCCCTCTCTCTCTCTCTCTCTCCCCCCCCCTCTCTCTCTCTCTCTCTCTCTCTCTCTCTCTCTCTCTCTCTCTCTCGCTCTCGCTCTCTCTCTCTCTCTCTCTCTCTCTCTCTCTCTCTCTCTCTCTCTCTCTCTCTCTCTCTCTCTCTCTCTCTCTCTCTCTCTCTCTCTCTCTCTCTCTCTCTCTCTCTCTCTCTCTCTCTCTCTCTCTCTCTCTCTCTCTCTCTCCCTCGCTCTCTCTCTCTCTCTCTCTCCCTCGCTCTCTCTCCCTCGCTCTCTCTCTCTCTCTCTCTCTCTCTCTCTCTTTCTCTCTCTCTCTCTCACACACACAAAGTGTATGTTTCGAACATACACTTTGAGTCTTTAACGAGAAACATGTTTTCCTACAACAAAATCAGAGGCTGACTTACATAACTCTCTCCACCAGGGTGACAGCGGTGGAGCCCTGGTGGCGCAGGTGTGCCCTGGCCGCTGGGTGCAGGTGGGCATCGTCAGCTACGGGAAGGGCTGTGGCGAGCCTAGGCAGCCAGGAGTGTACCTCAGAGTTACCGCGTATGTTGGCTGGATCACCCAGACAACTGGATCACGCACTTGCTAAACTGGTCCACTGTTACAACCTGCTGTACTGGTCCACAACCACCACCTGCTGAACTGGTCTCACTACCACCGGAAGAACTGGTCTCACTACCACCTGCTGAACTGGTCTCACTACCACCACCTGCTACACTGGTCTCACTACCACCACCTGCTACACTGGTCTCACTACCACCGGAAGAACTGGTCCACAACCAACACCTGCTGAACTGGTCCACCACCACCACCTGCTGTACTGGTCCACAACCACCACCTGCTGTACTGGTCCACAACCACCACCTGAAGAACTGGTCTCACTACCACCTGCTACACTGGTCTCACTACCACCACCTGTAGAGTTGGTCACACTATGTTACGACCTGAGTGGTCTATTTAAGAGACTTGTGTCTCTTAAATAGAGTTTAGAGTTTTTGTCAGAGTTTACACAAATACGAAGAGTGTGTTCGGCGAGTTTGTTACTGGTGTCAATGCTGGCCGTCGTACCATCAAGTAGTAATATGTAATCTACCGGCTGTTTTTAAGAATTTTAACTTAATATTTGACTAATTAGTAAGCAGCCAGTGAGATAGTTATCTTTATAGATTATTTTGTTAAGTATTTAAGCAGAACACATTGAAGTATGTGGACGGTTACAGTTCAAGGTTTTTACAGAACGCTGCTTGGAGGGGCACAGACATTCAGGTTGGCCATGGCAGTCTGTGAGGAAGGTTGCATCAGCCTTGACAGCCTTATTTGCCCACGTCCATATCTGCCACCGCTTTCCTTTGTAGATCTTATATATTATACTGTAACTTACAGGTCACTCACAGTGTTAGTCTGGAAGAGTGAACTGTAAGAGGATGGTGTAAGGGTATTAATGTTCTGAAGTTATTATTTTCTTCCACTAGTGTTTTAATTCTTGCCTAGCTTGTTGTGTAGGTATAAATCTTGGCCTCTATCAAACTAGAGCATTGGATCTTAAAGTGAATGTCAAGAGGTAAGATCGTTTGTTATTATTGTGGGGGTGTGGGGTTTTGTTAATAAATAGATTGTTACAAATCAGTCTTTCTATCCCGTGTGTTTGGTGAGAGTGCATCATTCCTGAGACAATTATTTGGGAGTTTCTTCCCTGGGGGTCGCAACCACCACCCTGCCACGAGTAGTAGGGATGGCAGTGTATGAGTAACTTCTCGTTTTTTGGGAAAGTTACTCATTTGGACTTTCTTATGGAGGAAATTCGAGACAAAAGTTACTCATTTGAACTTAAAGGTTTCTTATGGAGGAAATTCGAGACAAAAGTTACTCATTTGAACCTAAAGGTTTCTTATGGAGGAAATTCGAGACGAAAACTACTCATTCGTTCTTAAAGGATTCTCATGGGGAAATTTTTTTTTTCAGAGTTCAATTTCATAAAAATATTTCAGAGTTTTCAGTGCCCACTATTCCCCACCCATTTGAGCACGATTTTTCAGAGTTTTATTCTGTCAGACTCGTTTAAAACCAAAACTATTTCAGAGTTCAGTTTAAGCCCAAAATAATTTCAGAGACCATTTAGGACCTAAAATTAGTCAGAGATCAGTTGAAGAACGAAATATTTTCGGAGTTCAGTTTAATACCAAAATAATTTCAGAGACCAGTTGAAGACTGAAAATTTGTCATAGTTCCAGTTAAAGACCAGAATTGTTCAAAGACCAGTAAAAGACCCAAATTCCTTAAGTCCATCTTTAGACCGAAAATTAGTCAGAGACCAATTAAAGACCGAATTTCTTCTGAGTCTAGTTGAAAACCGAATTTCTTCAGAGTCTAGTAAAAGACCGAAATTGTTCAAAGACTATATAAGACCAAAATTGACTGGAATTTGACAGAGATAATTTTAAGACCAAAGATATAAGTCCATTTAACACCAGTTGAGTCCAGTTGAGCCCGAAAATATTCAGAGTACATTTTAAGACCAAAATTAATCAAGAGTCTAGTTAAAGACCAGAAATTCCTGGTCAAGCACTCGTTGATGTAAACCCCCTTGTTCGAGGATAATGCAGCCTCGACAACATCAGACTTTAGGTTTTTCTTTTGTTTTGTCCTGTTGGACTCTTTTTGCCTACTCTATAAGCAGCAATTATGTTCGTTTTTGTTTACTTCATAATGCATTGAACCTTTTATGAAAGCGTGTTTACAATATCAATACAGTTCTCATCTTCACTTTTCACAGGGATGGCTGGAAATGACACAATAACAGAGTCCACCAACTTTTGCAGGTCTTTTTGTCAAGAGCTTCTTCTTGTTTTTTGACGGATTCACTGGTTTTCAGATGTGTATTTTCCTCATGAAGATGGTTTATGTCATGCTGTAGTTGTTGTTGGGTAGTTTGACAGGTTCTAATATCCGTGTGGAGAAGGGTTATTTCTTGTTGCTGTTGATGCAGGTTTGCACAGATAGCTTGACCCCTCACTTTGAAGGCCCTGAATGATCGTAATTTGAACCTCAATGACTTGACAAAGCTTTTTGAACCACTGATTCTCATTGCAGTTATGGAATTCCGGCGAGAGACTTGAGATTGAGAGGACACATTCCCAAGGCTCAGTGAAGGAATAGAGGGAAGGGCAGGGCTGCCACAAACCCCAGAGGGCGAGAAACGACAGTTGTTGGTGTTGTTCTGGATGGGTGCCTTGCCTGGACACTTGTGTTTCTTTTTCCCTGCACAAACTTGCTTTTGAGAGACGGCATGGTTGGTTAAGTATGGTATGAGGAATATATTGTAGCAGAAACTTGTTTGAGGCAGCACGGAGACGGGCAGCAGGCACTGATGCTAACAGCAGGAAAAGTTTGTTTTTAATTTTGTTTGCGATGCAATGGGTTGATTGGGTTAGTTACTGTCGGTGTGTTATAACTAGCATGGACTCGATGTACTTAGCTGCCGGTGGGTAGTGTTCTACATCATCTGAGTGTAGTTGAGGGCTGTAATACAGCCTAGAATGGAGAGCACAAGCGAGCAGGGGTCAACTCCACAACACATATGATGTTAGCCTATACTACTTGTATCAGAAGCATCTTCACTGAACCCAGAAAACGATTTATCTATAGTATCATTTTATTAAATAATTGTAGATGACACAGGTGGTGATAATAATAGCGAGTGCAATGGTCTGGGAGGCCACAGCATGTCTGTCGCTCAGCCTTTACTGGATACGGTTGCTGTATTGTCCTCACCCGTGCTGTATCACTTGTATCGGACACTTGTGTTAAGTATTTTTCGTGCCTTGGTTCATCAATATCACTACCCTTTCCTTCTTCAAGCAATAATGTCTGAATTTTCCCTTCAGGCAGTGATCTTCAAACGTTTGTCTCACAGGGGATTGGGAGCTGGAGGCGAGTGCGTATGCCATGGTTGCTCGATCAGAACCGAGGCTACTCGCAGCCATGGGACATTCTGGGAGTTTTTTTTTCCAAATGGCTACTGCTCACTGGAGGCCTCAGGCCACCATCTCATACCCAACCTACAACGTGCGCGTTTTGAATCTTACAATATCTTAAAATCGGGTTTCTCAGCCTGCACAGTGCGTACCATGAGTAATGTCGGGTGGCGCAGTGCAGTGGTTAAAAAAAAATCAACATCTTGTGTCAGTGACATGAGCTTTAAAATAATAAAAGACAATTATCTGAACTAAATGAAACAGGAGTCATGGCCAAAGAGCCACAATGAATTTATAACTTAATAACAGAAAAAATTAATGAAATGTACAATATTTACAAAGTATTTATAAGAACTAAACCGAGAAAGTTAACATCTTGGTGATAGCAGTTACAGTCAGTCAACTCATATGTGACATGAGCTATTCCTTGACAGGAATCCCTGGCCTCAGTGTGGTTGCCAGAACACTAAGAAAACTCTTGATGACATGCACTGTGAAATACAAATGGCACAGTAGACTTCACACCGGCATATCTGACTGTACAGTGTGACAGTTAACTGACAGTGCAAAGTTTAAATAAGTATATTCATTGCATTGCACAACAGTATTAGAACACATGAGGAAGAGGTACTGGGAAGTGAGGTAACAAACAAGACAACTCATTCGTCATGGAGACTAGTTTTCTGGTTTTGACAAACAAAAACAGAACGATAACTGCAAAGTGCACCTAGTTATAGTTCTGCGAATGTCAACATCTAGTTCGTCAAGAGCACTATACAACTCTGGCTTTAATTGAAGGTCAGGAACAGATGAAACTGCAAGTGGCAAGCTCTCAACTGGATAGTTAATCTCATTAACATATAGCCAGTTGACTTGTGGTGAGTTCACAGTGGAGACTAAAGATCTAGATCTAAGATTATAGGTGCTGGCATGGTGTAGCTCTCATGTCAAGTGGCCTGTAAACCACAGTAGGTGGTGTCCCAATAGAAGACTCTGTCTGGGTAGGGTCATTGTCATCATGAGTCTCGTTAAGGTCATTTTAGCTAACTTCATTTGGTCTAAGTGTTCATTGATATACTCTCTTCTTAACAGAATCTTAAGTTTGTATTTGTTACCTTTTATAAGCTCTATTACTTTATACAGACCCAAAAATTTCTTAACTTGTACATAGGGCCAGACCTGTGCTGCTTAAGTACCATTACAACAGATCCGACAGTTATATTACTGGGCTTTGCTCATGCATTCTTTGTCCACGTAAACTCTGATGTTGCCTTGGACAAGTGTTATTGTATTTTCTTGAAAACTAGTTGCATTCGTCTATGCTTTACTTGCTCGAAATCATCTAGGTTATGCAAAGGATGACAAGGTACATTAATTAATTCATTAGTAAGCATCATTTCTGTGCCTCTAGGGTCCATATGGGGGTCTTGTCTCTGTTCTGTCTTGACTACTGTAGCGTCTAATGATGGATAATCTACCAGATTTACAGCTACGTTTTGAGAAAAAGCATCAGCTACAACTTTTTGTTTTCCTGGGATATAACCAAATGTGAGGTTGATCTCTTGAATTGTGAGCAAATATCTAGCAAACTTTTCAACGGGATTCGAATTCTTGAACAAATAGATTGATGATCTGTAAGAACATGGGCAGGATAGTTATAGATTGTATCCCTGAAACGTTTAAGAGCCCATACAACTGCTAAAGCTTCGCGTTCTGTTGCAGTATAATTTTTCTCTTCATTAGATAATGTACGGCCAGAATAAGCTATTGCATGATCTGTGTCTCTCAGTTTGAAGTAATGCAGCATCATCAACTCAAGCCCTCATCACTTGAATTTGTGACTAACGTGAAAGATTTAGAAAAATCTGGGTACCTAAGGACAGGTGAAGAGATCAGTGCTACTTTGAGTATATGAATTCCTGTTCTTGAGCTCCTTCCCAAACAAAGGATTCATCCTTTCTTTGTAACTTGTAAAGTGGGGCGGCTATGAGAGAGAAACCAGCAAAACTGAACGATACAATCCTACAAGACCCCTGAACTGTCTTAAGGCTTCTGCATTCTGTGGCATTTTGATTCATTCAAGGTGATTCCTGAAGGTGTGACTGTATGACCTAAGAAGTTAATTATCTCCTTTCAAAATTAAATTAACACGTTGAGAGTTTTATCTTTAAGTTTGCTTCCAATAGCTTTACAAGTACTTTTGTAAAGTTCTGGAAATGAGTTGGAACATCGTGTGACATTATTATGAGATCATCAAGGTACACTAGAAGAGTACTACCTATCAGTCTACGAAAGAGGTTCATCAAAAGCCTGGTAAAGGTTATTGGATTACTCCGCAGCCCAAACAGCATTCTTTTGAAATGAAAATGACCGTTAGGAATACTAAAGGCTGTCAACTGTTTACTTTCTTCATCAAGTGAGATTTGCCAGAATTCCTGCAAGAAATCTAAAGTTGAGAATACTTTGTTTCGACCTATGCTTTGCAACAAATTATTTAGGACTGGAAAAGGGAAACAGGAACGTCTACGTTACTCTGTTAAGCTTCCGGTAGTCGATTACCGGTCTCCATGTCCTATCTTGTTCTGGTTTAGGTGTGAGATTTTTCATAATCTTTTCAGTTCCCCACTCTAGAGACCATAGAAAAATTAT